AGAGAAAGTTTTTGGAAATGACGCCTATAGGCTTTAATTTCACGCGCAAGCACATGTAAATGCAAAAAAGTGATAATCGGAAAAATGCAAAAATCCGACCATGGCGGGGAACCGAACCAACAACTTCGACAAACCGTGCCAACCAGAGTCCATCACGCTATCCACTCGACCATCCGACCACCGCTGTACTGTGAATGTCAACAACTCTGATGAAACTTCCTTGTGCTTTTGAGCACTTATTATATACAATTTTTGGTATTGGCTTTATTCCACGCTGTTTTCAACGTTCAGGTGAAGAAAACCTTCTATTGTGCGTCCACTTAACATAACGAGTGATATAAACCACGTTGAAGGTGTGAAAACTCCGATTTCTGAAGAAATTTTTTCACTCCTTTTTTGGCATTCAGAGGGCCGCTCAGAAAAAATGGAGCCTAGTTTTGTACTCCATGCATGTGCCCCTTTATCATGCAAAAAACCGTTTTCAAAAAGGGCTCCATGTCCTGAAAGACCTTCCTGGTAAGTGCAAAAGAATTCTCGCCTTACGTTTTTGGTTGGTTCAGTAGACGGCAGTAGACTTTAAGGAGCTTAGAATTTGAGTATCGCAGCCAGATTTCGCTTCCTGCGACGAGTTCTGCGATGAACCTGCACCCTGCCGCAGAAGAGCAATGACGTATGAAGGCACGTTGGTCTATGCAAAAGGGGCTTTGTAGGAGCATCATTCACACATGTGCGTTGTCTCGCCACGCCACTCTCCTCATTAACCAGCGAGAAGAATAATATAAATCATGTGGCCTTTTTGAAGCGCGCCATGCATTTTATTATACTCCCATTACCAATGGGCGAGAAATATAATAGATCGTGAAGTAAATTGGGGGGGGGGAACCAATTACGAGTTCAGAGTAGTTGGCTCTTTCAACCTCCCAGGCGAGGTACCATAACCGACCCCGAAAGGATGGAGGTTTTGGTTGACCCGAGCGGAGGCCGATCGAAGGTCGATCCCCAACTTTGTGCGTGAAAAACCAAACTAATTACCAAAACACCAATTCTGTTTAGTCAATAGCAACTGCTCTTTGGTTATATAACTTTCCAACAAATGAGTTTGCAGCGTCGCGTTGAGTCGCACAGTGGCTGATGTCTTCTCGTGTTCGCTGTTGTGTGCTGCTTCGTTCATGGCCTAATGAATATTCGGCATCCTACACAATCCTCGCGCTCTTCCTATGCGTCGCTACTTTCGGGTTCATCAACCTCAGCCTTTCACATCTCTTCGTTATTGCCCTACGACAGGTAACCTTCTCATTAAGATTGCTTGAACTGTGTTTGGACTAACATTGTCAAGTGTTGAGGTAAAAGCGTAACAAGCAGGAAGATGAAACTTATTCGATTTTAGTGGCAGTGATCGTGATGGCTGGAGGGGATGCGATTTTGATGATGACGTCATTGAATGTCATTGGTGGACCGAACCCCGCGACGCTTCGGGCTATGCGGTTGGGATTGCCTCGTGTTCCCCTTCCACCGATCATCTTCACCGAAATCGCACCGCTCTCCAGCTTGATGCGATCGTAGGTGAAATGCGCAACAAAGTGTGGAACAAATTTTCATCAGGCATTGTTCGGAGGTTGTACCAATTAGCCGATTAGGTGAGAGAGAAATTATATGTATCGATTCGGCGATGGTTAAGCAGCGATTACGATAAGGTGGGAGCGCATCGGGGAAGCATATGCACCACACGAAGCAGTTGCAATGAGCTGCTAATGCTAAGGAAGCGAGACGTGGCGCTTCTGTGACGAAAGCAGTTTAGTTGGTGATTTTAACGAGCTGCGTTGCTAGCTGCGGCAAAAGCGGAGCAACCGATTGGACGGTGATTCGGCATGGTGCCACCAAACGCGTTGCGATGAAATCGTTCATACACCCGCTTTCTGAGCTGTTACCTGTTCATGAGTGAAAACGAAAAGCCAAAAATGGAGGTCCCGTTTTGCGTTTCTTGACGTTCTCAGCTTTTTTCGCCACCACTTGCCATTGAGCACAACCGCGTTTCCTTTAACCCATTGCGGACCGCCGTTATAATTGCACCTCCATAGGGGTTTGTCATCTCTTTCTTCAGTAGCCAATAATCTATCGAAAATTTAACCAGCACGCAAATATATGATATATCCAGTGTTTGAAAAAGTAGAATTTTGATTTTGTAACTTAGCAAAATGCTGGAAAAATCGAAGATTGCTATCCTTTTCCGCGTGGTGGCGTGCTGCACCATGTGCAATGGGTTAAACCCTTTTCGAATCTATCGTAATCGCTGCCTTCAAGAAGGCGTAGAGAGCCAAGCTGGTGCATTTACAGTTTTACTCGTCTAATTGCCTGAGCCGTCAACTTTCATAATGCCTGAGTGACACCTACATTTAGAATGCAAAGTATAATCCTTCTATTTTATAAAGCGCTAACTTTGTGTGTCGGTTTGTATGTCTGTATGTGTGTATGTATGTATGTATGTATGTATGTATGTATGTATGTATGTATGTATGTATGTATGTATGTATGTATGTATGTATGTATGTATGTATGTATGTATGTATGTATGTATGTATGTATGTATGTATGTATGTATGTATGTGTGTCCGTCCGCAAAATGAAGTGAGTGAGAAGGAAGCTCATGGGATAAACAAACCGCTAACAGAATCATGTAGCTCACAGGACTTTAGCTATTAGTGTTTTGCAATGGCATGATTGTGATAGCATCCCCAACGGCTATATAAACACGCACTTAGCACACTTTCGGTCATTCGACAAGGTGATGCTGTGGTAGCCGGCGAGCAGAGGGGAACGAGGGGAGAGTAAGGAGAGGAGGGAGAAGGGAAAGCTTACGCATCATACGTATACGAAGTACACTATGGAATGCTTACAAGGGAGTCTTTCAGGACATGGAGCGCTTTTCCAAAATGATTTCCTGCACTTTGTAGAGACTCATGCGAGGAACACAAAACCATGGTCCGTTTTTCCTGAACGCTTCTAGGAAGGTCAGAATAGTGGAGAAGAGATGGTCCAAAGTTCGATCCTCCGTGATGTCTAATTTTTGCAATTTATGTTGGCGCCTCCAAATTGTGTCCAAATGGCACCAGCGTCGATTAACATGTCATCCTCGTAATTTGGCGACAATTTGGAGGCTCCAACATGGATTGCAAAAATTTGTCACCTTGAACGGATTGGACCATTTCTTTTTCTTTCCCAGAAGTGTTCAGGAAAAATGGACACATAATTTTATGTTCCTCGCATGAGCTTCAACAACATGCAAGGAACCTAAGCGCTTCATAACCTGAAACCCTTGAGTTTCCACGTTAGGCTGCACGAGGCTCTACTTTATGGGTCATAGGTGATGTGTGGTTCCCTTACTCCTCTTCTCTGCACCACTCCCACTTTCATTTCCGATAATGACGAATTATCCTGTATACTGCTACCTAAACGCTATGGGAGAGCTTGCTGTAGATTGGTCATTCACTCACTTTAGAGTCCAACTGACTGCGCTTAATTTCTCCTTTAGCGACACTTGTAACCTTCATGTTACCAGTAGCATCTGAGACCCTGAAAAGGAAAAAGTGACACATCTGTAGGAAACAGCTTCCAAACGCGGTAAGGCCTACCTCCATAGACTCAAATTATCTGCCGTCTCTTTCCAATAGTTGTCGTCATCGTTCTTGGGTTCTGGTATGCTCCTGACAACACGCGATCCTCCAAAATGTGACCAGAAATCTTGATTGATATCCCAGTCGGCATCTGAACAGCAAGGCATTTAGGCATTGATCCATCATTTTTGAACCATACTCAATTCAAACCCAATATGTGGACTTTAGTTTCTCCTTGTCGTTCAACTTCAGCAATATCCTTTGCAATTGCCATACCCTAAAAATTACTGTTCGTAGACTTTTGATACGGTTGAAGACGTTTTTTAGGAATGACCTTGATTCTTTCGATACGTCCACTCTTTTTTGGCATCCAGACGTAAATGTCCTTACCAAGATCCAATAGGAAGACATCACCGAGGTTCAAGGACTCTTTTTTTAATGGAACCTTAATTGTCATTTTGTGAATGTGCGGTTCAACGAAAAGTTATTCAACATCATACACAACAAACACCAACACGAATACCGAATGGTGGGTGGGAGGAAGTGGAGGGGGTAAGGGGGGGGGGAGTAGTCATTGAGATGATCGCGGTTCCCTGTCTACAACAATGATTTTGTATTCGACTAACTAGCTGAACTAACTATGAAGTCCACATAGAACGATCGCAGCGCTGTGAAGCCATGACAGCCAAGCCCAAATAACTTGGAAGTTTAAAGGCACCTCACCTCAATGAAATGAATAGGGCGAAATTAAATAGCGTTGTGAGGGAGATTAGATTAGATAGAGGGGAATTGAGACAGCATGGCGCGCTAGTGGATCACACTTCAGGCCGGCTAGGACGTCCTGCCGCTCACCACAGAAAACCCACCCATGTGAAGCGTCACTACAACACATCGAACTACCGTATTATCAGATTCCTCTTCCTTGAATTATTACTCTCTATTATTCACTGAATTGAGCACAGTTCCATTGTCAGTGACTAGTTCTGATTCTCAAATATTCTTGAATTTCTCAAGCAGAACAAGGAATACTCACATTGTTACAAATTCTGGGAGAAGCGGAATCGCGCTCACCTCATTCAGCCAAAAAACATCCATCCATTTGATAGCAAGTTACAGTTATCAACGGATACAGTCTCTCCTAGCACCCAAGCACCTTTGCAATAACTTGACACATTCATGAAGTCTGTGCTGCTGCGCGCCTCTTTTCCCTCTCTCCACCTCCAACTAGAGCACATGAAAAAGCTGTGCGTCACACTAATAGCATTTTAAAAGCTATTCTCTTGTTCGCCGTTCGGCAATGCTTGCAAGAGATGGCCTTCTTGGTGTATACAGATTGATGATATCAGAAATGATTGCAGGCTTAACATGAAAAATCTAGCAGCAGACACTGGCGTTTATGTAACTGTAATTGTAAGTAATTTGTCTCGTGCCTGATACAGTGGACTTCGCACTAGGGTACAGCTCTTGTGACCCTTCGCCTAACGGCTCGTCTGCGAACGTACAAAGTAAGAACAACTTTTTTCAGGCTGGGAGAGACTTACTAAAGGAATCCTTCGCGGAAAATTCTTGCATTCTTTCTCAACATGAATGTGTCAGTTGTGATCACTAGAATGCAATACACAAAGTTTTACGCATGAAGATTCGGTTTCCGAAGAGAAACTCACGAAAATCCATTCTATGGACAATCGAAGGTAATTCGGGCGGAGCCAAAGGCGGGGCATGGAAGAAGTCCGCACTGGGGCGCTACGTATCAGGCGACGCAATGAAAGAATCGGGTTAAAGCGTGCGATTTTGGAGAGTAGAGACAAATCGATCGATAGAATAGGATGGAGTAGAAGTGTGAGATGTGAATGCAATAAGTCAAAAGGCCAGAAAGAGTTCCTTTTCTGTTGAGTAAGGAGCACCTGGTGACAGCGAACGTTCCTTTTTCCTTTACAGTGAAACAGCCTTGGCTTCCAGTCTTTGAACTTGTCCTCCACATGATGAAATCCGGACTCGTAACCTCCTGCGATATATCTGAAAGGCCTCTGTGATTTTATAAAATCTTTCACCTTAACCAAAGTCTGCACTAGCGTACCTGACGCCATTCGGGAAATATGACAGAAACAGCGGCGATTCATGTGCCTGCACTTCTCTGTATTGTACTGGAAGGCCGTTGAGAGCCTGGTCGATCTCTACTGTTTTTATGGCAGCTGATCCAACCTCATCTTGAGAAGAAGTCTCACCCAGCCAGAAGTGGACATTCCACCCACTGTTAGATGACTTAAAGCTACCTTTACATGCAAAAACGTTAGTGTAAACAAATAGCCAATAATTATTTCCTCACGCATAAAACAATGTAGGCGTCATTACTGTAGAATTGTCCATATTCTTTTTTGGGTACTTCCTCCAACTTGAAGTCCTGAAAGCGAAGGTAAATCATGAAACTCAGGATAATGAAAAGTTCAGAAAGCTTGGAAAGGGACAAAAGGTCGCCTTCTTCTTCAACACTTGGAAAGCTTGATTAGCCTCGCTCCCCAGCGTAAACCCCTTTGACGACCTTTTTCAGTAGCCGTGCGTATGAGGTTTCACCTGTGGACCTTTGCCTGTTATGCTGTGAATATCCAACCGATATGTGGTAAGGCTTGTTTAGTCTGAATGGGGTTCGATATGAGTACGGTAAAGGCACCATTAAAGGCACGCTCCGCGATTAGGCGCGCTCGCCTGTTCCATCCCGGGGTAGTAGGCAGGCGGACAAGCGTTGATGTCGCGCCCCTTTTGCCGCTTGAAAGTGCGCGACAAAGGCGCAAGGAGCTCGTCCGACCCGCAACTCACACCTTCGTCCGCAAGCCCCACCCTCCGCTGTCGGTTGCCACGTGGCGCTGCTTGAAAAGCGCGGCGCATTTGAGGCACCGGAGCAACTAAAGTTAGGCTCACGAATCTCATCCAACGCATCCCTACTCTATCCCAAGGTGGGCTGCAGGGAGGTCTCTGTGTCGTTTGCTTTCCTTTTCTTTTCTAGACCTCCTTCCACCTCTGGCTTCATAAATGAACCCTTTCAACACCTATTTTATAACGATTCTCGCCTTTAAGCACTGAGCCACTTCCGCCCTAGGTTGTGGCATTTAAGAATTTCAATGTAATTTATAGGCATGATGGATCGACTTGATACCATTGACCATAACTTCCCTGTCTCGTTTGAACGGTCTTATTCATTTGAAAGTCGATCACGTAGAAAGCATTGCCTTTGGAGGTAAAACTGCTCGATTGGCGGAGTGTCTACATATTATTATTTGTAGTGGTTGAAGAAATTTGTGATATTTTTTACCTCACATTTTTTATTATATATAAATTTACATAATATTTGTGATGAATTTGTATTATATCTGTTTACATAACGCAATTTAGATTATTCTTGTACTATATGATTACTTATTGTGGCAAAGTACAGGGTGGCGAAAATTTTTGTGCGCCATACAAAACGTACTTCATTTTGTTTTGCCCATAAAAAACCAGAGGAAGCTGATTTTATAAAACAGCAAACTCTAACATTCAATGATTATAAAGGCCTCGAAATGACCGCTGTCAGTTTTGATACAGGTCTGAATCCGTTTCGACATCGAGTCAATGGTGCGGCGAAGCTATAGAGTTCGCTGCTTTAACCCATTCGCGACCGCGCCGGTTTGCGCATAGCAGGAGAGTCAGGAGATTTTTCTTCAATAAAATTTGAGTGGATGGAGATTTCCCCTGCCCAGGGCTGGCGTAGATGAATGAGGGTATGAAGATTCTTTTCAGGAAAGAAAACTTTCCAAATTCCATTTGAAACACGGCAGCCATAGGTGGCTGCCATTGTCAGAAATGGGTTAACACAGACGTAAGCAAACCAGCCCTTTTGGCGCTTCGGCTGGGACCGTATGCTGAATGTTGGGGAGGGGATGGAGTCCCCGACGGTGGACGGACCACTTCAACTCGGTCCTTAGAACCGCCACAATTTGGTGCTTACCTCAGAACTAAGCCTTAAAGAGAGGACGGGTCCGTCCCCTCTCCAAGGCTTAGTCCTGGGGTGAGCAAACCAGCCCTTCTGGCGGAGCTGCTGGACCAGCTGCACCACTTGCGTCAGTACTCTCCTATCGTACCAACCGAGTTGAAGTAAACCGTCGACCGTTGGGGACCCCATCCCCTCCCCAACATTCAGCATACGGTCCCAGCCGAAACGCCAAAAGGGCTGGTTTGCTTACCTCGTGGGCGGAAGTGGTGTAGTGGCAAGTGGCACGCTTACCACGCGAGCGGTCCGGGGATCAAATCCTGGGTCGTGAGTCGCCCGGGCCAACCAAGCCTTCCATCCCTCCGGGGTCGGTTAATTGGTACCAGACTTGTCTGGGAGGATAAAAACACTGACTTGTACATCGGCTGGCCCCCGCAAGTCATTGTATAGGCCACATCGCATTCAAACGCCACTACGAATGTACAAATGGAAGTAGAATGCGTGCCGCATCCCAAAAAGGGATTGATCAACGGCAAATGCTTTATCCTTTTTTATCCTTTAACACATTGACGACATTGAGACGCGGTAACGCGTCTCACTTTGCGCACCTCGTTGGACATTGAGACGCGTTACCGCGTCTCACCCTTGTCATCCCTTTTTCTAGCGTATGCGGGATTCTTCCCAAATTGCTTGTCTCTATTCTATGGATTACAACATAACTGTAAACGACATGGGTCACGGTATGATCAAATATGCTCCAGTTTAGCAGAAGTTTTTAAGCACAGCGGAATTGGCAGCTCGGTTCATTCCCTCGTTTTCTTCCTATTCTCATGAACATGTCAGTGAGAAAAGGTAGTGAAAGTAAATACAAACTTAAAGGGATAGAAAGATATATGTTTCACTTGACACATCCACATCGAAAATAGTTTTGGCATCCACTACAGAGAAAAGGACTTGAATTCCAATTTACCATTTCACGTTTTTTGATCGGAATTTCGCTACTATATCTTCGATTACTTTCTACGCATTGAATATTGCTGAAATGGTTTCGTACCTTTGAAGCTTCCCAAGGTTATCGTTCGAAATTTACGGGTGTGAGGTGTGACGGCCGCGCTCGCAAAAGCGCCCTTGTCCCACGCGGTGCAAAAACCCAAAACGCGCGATGTCGTCAACGTACTAATGAAGAAGAAGTCTCAGCTAGGCAGAGAAAAACCCTTGAAAGCACCTTCAACTCTTCTTGCCCAGCTCTCAGGAACATTAGCAATTGAAAATTACCGAATTCTGTTCGCTAAAATTTTGATTATTTGGAGTATAGTATCTGTGCTTGGACGCCTTGACTTTTATAGAAAAAAGTCATGAAAATCAATGTGAAGATCTATGACAAAGAGGTCGTAAATAAAGCTCTGGTGCTCAGAAAGCAGCGTCTGTCGTCCGTAATGTTGTCTTTCTACAGGAATGGTTCTCCGCGCACGGACCAATACAATGGTCGAACTGTTCGATACCAAAATCGGCTCCTTTTTGACCGTGGATTTGTGGCTTACTAACACTCCGAAATCGAATCTATCACAATTCCCTGTTTGTGGTCTTATTGGAGGGCTAGTAGCGAACCGAACCAAAAATTAGGTGAATTTGAAAAGAAATTTCCCAAAATTTTGAATAAATAGACGTTGTAACCTTCGCCGCACTATCGGCTCGATGAAGAAACAAAATGATGTTTGTATCGAATTGATGGCGGACATTTCGGAACTCCTTTACAATCATCAAACTTACAGTTTGACGCTCTTATGAACATAGTTGCTTTCAAATTTTTATGAATAAAAAATTAAAGTTGGTATGCTTTTTTTCCTAGCGCATGTGATTTTTTGCCGCCCTGTAGCAAAATCCCAGCGCTGTCCCTGACCAGGAAAGGCATTCAACTTCCCATGGAACTTTGATTGAGACCCAGATATATCGATAGAGCTTCAAACGCTGATTACAAATATGGAAACTAAAACTGCAAAATGAACCTGCCAAGGAAGTTGTGAGCAGTCAAAGTTGGCTGGAAGTAAAGCATTACTAGCCTCCGGCTTTCAAAGTCGCCGTGGAGTAGTGGTAGTGCTCTCGAATTTGCACTCCAACGGGAAGAGAACTTATGACCTTCCGGGTGAAGAGCGAGGGCACTACCACTACTCCGCGGCGACTTGAAAGCCTGGGATCCAGCACGGTTCATATGCTTTACTTTAGCCAACTTTGACTGCTCACAACTTCCTTGGCAGGTTCATTTTGCAGTTTAGTTTCCATATTTGTAATCAGCGTTTGAAGCTCTATCGATATATCTGGGTCTCAATTCAAAGTTCCATGGGAAGTTGAATGCCTTCCCTGGTGAATTCTTCTTCATTCTTCTTCGGAGTGTCAAGGGAAGCATAGCTGAGAAGGACTTCACAGCTCCCGATATAACGCAAGAAAACAACGATTTATTATTTACTATTATCCAACTGAGTGATACAACTGCCACCTTACAGCGGGGGCTGTTCATGTCATTACTTCGCACCAATTATCACTTTACAACGCAAGGGATTTGTCAGGCTGGTTCACCCACATGAAACCCCGAAACCCATCCCATTATTCGGATATAGACTTTGGTCTATGCTCGTGTTAAAGCTAGTGCTTGACAGATTGAGATTGATCCATGATCAAAGGCCAGGCTGAGTAATGGGATGGGTTTCTGCGTCACTTGTAGTAATCTCCAGTTCAGCTACAATTGCCTAGATATTGTTCTGGTATTCATAAAAAAATGAAGGGGTATTAGAAACATAAAAAGTGATTGATATGCGCTTCGATTCTGCACATAACGTGTTTCTCTGGAGCCATCCTTGGATCCATGGAAAATATAACACCTCGATTTTTATTTTTGAGCCTGCAATCATGGCCTTGAAAAGGGAGCTCACAACTAGTGTATAAACAATGCCTATTTATCTCTGCTGCCTAAGTGTCTGTACAAATAATGTACTATAATGGCTGACAGAAAAAAGGAACTATAGAAGTGTTCTCCTATTCAAGTGAACGATAAAAACGGGCGTTAAAACTTCTTGTGGAAAAAGAAAAAGAAATTCAAGGTAAAAAAAATCACAAAATTTGTGCGATATAGATGTGATCTTGCAAGACCAATAAATTCGCGATATGTTCGAACACAATTTCGGAATCCTTTCAAGGTGTTTGCGTCTAGTGGGTCCAACAGCCACAACGCTTATTCTCATACTCGCCATGGACCTAGCAAAGGAGGTTTTTCAGGACCTGGAGACTTTTTCGACGGTAAATATTCGCTGAGCGGCTCCCTGAAGGCTTAAATGTGGTGAAGAAATGGTGCGACGTTAAATTCCCCGTAATGACAGAACTTCGTCCGAAGATTTCCAGATTTCTTCCAAAAAAGAAAGAACCGAGAATTAGAGCATTACCAA